ATCTCCGCCTGAGCTGGAGACGAGCTGCGCGGATCCAGTCGATCAACACCTCAGTGACATCACCCTTGCTGCGCAAGGGGAAGACTGTGGTGTAACGCGAGTAGTCGTCAACCACCAGCAGGAAGTAGCGCTCGTGACCCTGCCCACGGACGCGGGTTGGGCCCCACACGTCCATGTGAAGCGTCTGTAGCGGGGCCTCTGTCGGAGGAAACTGGGAGGAGTGAGGGGCAGCACGCTGGCGCCCCTCGACGCAGGGGACGCAGGCAGGGGCCGGCCTTGGGGGAAGGGGAGGGAGGGACGGGGGAAGACCAGAGACAAGGAAACGGGACGCCATGCCTCGGAGGCGAGGGAGGGAAGGGTGACCAAGGCGGTGGTGCCAAAGGAGAGTCTCGTGAGACAGGAGACGACAGGAGCAGGGGGGAGACTCAGGACCAGACCTGGACGCTGCAGCAAACACCTGACCCGACGCAGCTACCTCACCAGACGCAGTGAGTGGAGGAGACTCAGTGGTCAGTGTGTACAGGCTCAACCTCGGCTGACGTGTAAACGTGGCCAAGTGTCGGCCTGACTGAGCCTCAGTGCAGTGTGTCACCCGCTGGCTCGCAGGAGTGAACTGGTGAACTCCCCCATCCCGTAGGTCAGCACCACTCACCAAGTTCGTAGAGAACGAGGGGAAGTAAAGACCAGACAGGGTGCCAGAGGGAGCCGCCGGACACGGAAGGACAGTGGAGAAGTGAGCAAGGAGGGGCCCCCAGAGGGGTCTGCCAGAGAGACTGAAACTGGCCGACTAAGCGGCGTGAGTGTGGTGCGGTCTCGAAAGAAGGAGCGAGAAGCCCCCAAGTCAAGGGTGAAGGTGAGGGAGGCCGAGGCCAACGCAGTACCTGAGAGCGCAAACTCACCAGCACCGGAGGAAACAGACGCACTAGCACCTAGAGCAGCAGCCTCGCTAGCACCAAGAGCAGCAGCCTCACCAATACCTAGAGCAGCAGCCTCAATGCCCGGGTCGGGCGGAAAACAGTCTCCCTCATCACTAATAGTCACAGCATACATGGCAGCAAGAATAGCATCAAAGTCAAGGTCAAAGATAGCAACTCCCGCCCTAGACAGCTCACCCCAGCGGGGGATCTCAGTGGCCTCCGGGAACTGGTGACGCCAAGTGTCCGTCAGGCGGCCAAAGCAGCGCTGGGTGGAGTGCGCACCCCCACACTGCTCACCCGCGCGGTCGCCGGTGCGTAGGACGTAGGGAAACGGACCAGCCCCCCCACCCCGCTGGCGTGCAGCGTACCACTCATGGAGCTGCTGAAGGGGGGGGGGATGTCACGAGTGCGCTGCTTCTGCTGCTGGCACTGACCACTACCGGAGCCGACCCTCTGCGCAGCGCCACCCCGACCAGCTCCACCTCCTCCGCCACCGCCTCCTCCACCGCCGCCACCTCCGCTACCTCCGCTCCCACCGCCACCGCCGCCGCCTCCTCCGCCTCCACTGCCGCCACCTCCACCTCCACCCCCGCCGCCACCCCCACCGCCACCCCCACCCCCTCCGCCGCCTCCACCGCCGCCTCCACCGCCCCCGCTAGCTCCTCCAGCGCCCCTGCCCCCCTTGCCCTTGCTAGGGCGGCGCTTCGCGCTAGGGGTAGAGGCCGCACCGACCGACTCCAGACCAACAAGGTCGGCCGCAGCAGCAGAGGCAATAGAGGGCTAAAGGGGGGAGGGGAAACACCCCTCAAAGATGGGGGTGCGAGGGTCACCACGAGAGGCTCCGACAGCTACAATTCTCTTCTCCGCTGCTAGGAGGGCCTTCTCGAGGAGGTCAACGGTGAGAGTGGTGGGGCAAACTGAGAGGAAGTGGTCCCTGACTATGCGAAGGGAGTCAGGGAGCCGGGTGACTATGTAGTAGAGGGTGATGTACATGGGGGGGGGGGGGGTTCTTGGCGCAGAACTCAGCAGGAAGCGCAGCGCGGTAGCGAGTGTCACTAGTGCGGAGGTGCGTAATGAGGTCATCGACTGTGGGAAAGGCAGCAAGGTCAGGGAAGAGGTACGGTAGCATGAGGCGGCTCAGTGCAGCAGTGGCAGGGGAGGAGTAGCGTGCAACTACAGCGTCGTACAAGGTCTGAGCACTCTTGTACTGACTAAAGTGCGCACGCTCAGAGGTAGGCAGGTGGCGACGCACAGCAAGACGTGCAGCAGCATCGTGTGTGGCCCACTGTGAGCGAATAGTCGCGTTGGCATCAGCAGTAGGGGCAGGAGAGGCACCAGAGGTGAGGTCAGAGAGAGAGAGACCGTCTGCCCTATCGCACTGTAGGAAAAGCTGCAGGTCATCTACCCAGACGTCAAAGTCAATGGCCCGACCCTCAGCGTCAAAAGTGAGGACACTAGGGGTAGCCATGATAGCAGTAGACTAGCAGCTCGAACAGTAGGGTAAGGGCAGTGCAGTGACAGAGGCGCTGCTCTTACCGGACAGGGCAGCTCGGGCGGCTCGTCGGCTCGGCGGCTCGGCAACTCGGCGGCTCGGGCGGCTCGGACGGCTCGGCGGTACGGCGGCTCGGCAGCAACCGCGGCTCGGCGACTCGGCGGCTCGGGTGACTCGGGCGGCTCGGGTGACTCGGCAGCTCGGGCGGCTCGGAGGCTCGGGCGGCTCGGGCGACTCGGCAGCTGGTGACGGCGCCGGCGGCTCGGTGACGGCGGCGGGGCCGGCAGAGGCGGCGCCGGGGCCGCAGGTAGGTGACGGGGCCAGCAAGGGTGGGGCCGGGTCGGGAAGGGCGGCGTCAGGGCCGCGGGGTAGGCGACGGGGCCGTAGGGCGGCGGATCGGAACCGGGAAGGGCGGCACCAGGGCCGCGGGGTAGGCGACGGGGCCGCAGGGCGGCGAATCAGGGCCGGGAAGGGCGGCGTGAGGGCCGCGGGGTAGGCGACGAGGCCGCAGGGCGGCGAATCGAGGCCAGGAAGGGTGGCGCGAGGGCCGCGGGGTAGGCGACGGGGTCGCATGGCGGCGGTTCGGGGCCAGGAAGGGCGGCACGAGGGCCGCGGGGTAGGCGACGGGGCCGCTAGGGCGGCGGATCGGGGCCGTCAAGGGCGGCGCCGGGGCTGCAGGGGTAGGCGACGGGTCGCTAGGGCAGCGGATCGGGGCCGCAAGGGCGGCGCGACGGGGTCGAGAAAGGGGAGCGCGACTCGGGCAAGGGCGGAGCGCGCTACGGGCAGGAAAAAAAAATCGAATCGGTGGGCCCTAGGAACATTTCCCACGAGGGTACCTGCTCGATACCATGAGAAAACTGAAACGAGAATGAATGAACTATGAAACAGTTGGGTACAAGTACTAGCCCTAATTGAGTTGTACCCCTTATGGGCTACCCCACTACAGCCTACACAAATGCATAAGCTATAATGTTCTGACAGGGGCGTTATGATGATTTGAGGCAAAGGGGGGGTCCTCACAAAATCTGCCACAATAAGAGTCCCCCTACCCATTCAAGAGTCCCGGGGGACCTTCTTACCGGCGGGTCTTTTAGCCGGAACTATACGGTACTCTGTTACGTTCTTCGCCTATTTCGCCAACACTCTCTTTCACCAAAGTCTTCCGCCGCGTTTATCCTCGACGTCGACCCCGCTATTTCTTAGCGGATTCATGCCATGTCAATCTTATATGCTATAATCTGTGTCAAACTTATATAGGGTACAACACTTTTAGGGTTTCCTGCTTGTACCCATCTGTTTCCTAGTACATTCATTCCTCGTACTTTTCTCACATCGTATAGAGCGGGTTCCCTAGTAGGACCGTTTATTTTAAGGGCCCACCACTTATTTTTTTTTCTGCCCTGCCCGAAGCACGCTTCGGGCTCTGCCCTAGTGCCGCCCTTAGCGAAACGCCCTGCCGACGCGGCCCTTAGCGGCCCGCCCTGTTGCCCTTAGCGGCCCGCCCTACCGCCCTTAACGACCCGTCGCCGCCCGGCCGCGAACCGCCTTGCCGCCCTTAAGAGGCCCGTCCTACCGCCCTTAGCGGGCTGTCGCCGCCCTTAGCGGCCCTTAGCGGCCTGGCCGCTCCGTCGTCGCGGCCCTACGCGGCCCGCCCGCCCGTCGTCGCGGCCCTCCACGGCCTGCCCGCATCATCGTCGCAGCCCCATACCCTGCCGCAGCCGCCGAGGCCCTGTGGCCTGCAGCAGCCGTTGCCCCTGCTGCCGCCGTCGAGCCTGCAACCGCCAGTGCGACCGCCGCCGTCGTCGCCGCTGCGGCCTCGCCGTCGCGGCCCTGCCCTGCCGCCCTGACGCGGCCCTGACCTGCCGCCGAGTCGCGGCCCTGCCCTGCCGCCTTGTCGCGGCCCCTACCCTGCCGGCGCGCCACGGCCCTGCCCCACCAGACGCGGCCTCTACCCTCCCCTCCCGCCACTGGTAAGCGCACCGCTGCATCCGCGCCGCCCTGCCGAGCCGTGCCGCCCTACCGAGCCGTGCCGCCCTGCCGAACCGCGCTGCCCTGCTGAGTCGCGCCACCCTGCCGAGTCGCGCTGCTTGCTGCTAGGCTACTGCTGCTGCTCCTGCTGTCATTGCTAGCCCTAACGTCCTTATCTTCGATGCTGAGGGTCGAGCGGTTGACTTCGAGGTTTGGGTCGATGATCTGCAGCTGTTTCTGTTGTGCGATTCTAGGGACGGAGTCTCACTGTTCGATCACACGTCCGGCGTCTCTGTTGCACATGCTGCCGATGCTGACAGTGCTGTTCGCTCGCAGTGGACCTCGCGCGATGCTGCTGCCCGTCTCGCTGTTCGTAGTCACTTGCCGTCTGCTGAGCGCGCGCACTTTAGCCTGTACAAGACCGCTAGGACTCTGTACGACACCGTTGTTGCGCGCTACTCCTCCCCTGCCACTGCTGCCCTTAGTCGCCTCATGCTGCCGTACCTGTTCTCTGACCTAGCTGCTTTTACCACAGTCGCTGACCTCATTACGCACCTCCGCACTAGTGACACCCGCTACCGCGCTGCACTTCCTGCCGAGTTCTGCGCCGCGAACCCCCCCGTATGTACATCACTCCCTGCTACCTCGTCACCCGGCTCCCTGACTCCCTTCCCTCGGTCAAGGACCACTTCCCCATTCTTTGCTCCACCACGCTCACCGTTGACCCCCTCGAGGAGCGCCTCCTTGCAGCTAAGAAGAATATAGTCGCTGTAGGAGCCTCTCGTGGTGACCTTCGTGCCCCATTCTTTGAGGGATGCTCCCGCGTTCCCCTTTTGCCTTCTGTTGCCTCTGCTGTTGCTGTCAACCTCGTTGGCACCGAGTCGGTCGGTGCAGCGTCTGCTCCTAGTAGGAGGCGCCACAGCGGCAGGAGCAAGGGGGGCAAGGGTGCTAGAGGAGACGGCGGGGGCGGCGGTGGTGGCAGTGGAGGCGGCGGAGGGGGTGGGGGTGGAGGTGAGGGTGGTGGCGGGAGTGGGAGCTTTGGTGGCGGCGGTGGCGGTGGAGGCGGCGGCGGCAGCTGCAGCGGAGGTGGCGGAGGCGGCAGCGGCGGTGGTGCTGCTCGGGGTGGCGCTGTGCAGCGGGGAGGCCTTGGTGGTGGCCAGCGTCAGCAGCAGCAGCGTTCTCGTGAGACCCTGTCGCCCCAGCAGCTTTGTGAGTGGTACGCTGGGCGTGGGAGGTCTGGGGGTGCTGGTCCTTGTGCTTACGTTCTCCGCACCGGTGAGCGCACTGGGGAGACGTGCAAAGGGCCACACGCCACGCAACGCTGGTTTGGCCGCCTGACTGACGCCTGGCGTGCACAGTTTCCTGACGCCACGGAGCTCCTTTGCTGGGGTGATCTGCTTAGGTCGGGGGTTCCTATCTTTGATCTTGACTATGATGCTATCCTTGCTGCTAGTATGTTGTAACTAGTAGTGCTGAGGGTGACTATTACCTGTGTGTTCCGCCCGACCCGGGCATTGAGACTGCTGCTCTAGGTGCTAGTGAGTCAGCTGCTCCAGGTGCTAGTGAGTCTGCTCTCTAAGGTACCGCGTCGGCTCAGGTGTTGCACACGTTCACCCTTGACATGGGTGCTTCCCGCTCCTTCTTTTGCGACTGCACCACGATCTCGCCGCTCAGTCGGCTAGTGGCGGTCTCTCTGGCTGACCCCTCTCGCGGTCTGGTCCTTGCACACTCCTCCACAGTTCTGCCGTGTCCGGCGGACCCGTCTGGCTCTCTGTCTGGCCTCCACCTCCCCTCGTTCTCCACGAACTTGGTGAGTGGAGCTGACCTTCAGGACGCCTGGGTTGACCAGTTCACTCCTGGAAGTCAGCGGGTGACCCATTGTTCATGTACTCGGACGGGTCGGCACCTGGCCACGTTCACCCGTCAGCTTGGGTCGAGCCTGTACACCCTGTCGACCGTGTCTCCTCCGGTTGCTGAGTCTGGTCAGGTAGCTGCGTTGGGTCAGGTGTTTGCTGCAGCATCCCGGTCTGGTCCTGAGTCTGCCCCCTGCTCGTGTCGCCTCCTGTCTCACCAGACTCTCCTCTGGCACCACCGCCTTGGTCACCCCTCACTGCCTCGTCTCTGAGGCATGACCTCCCATGTCCCTGTCAATGGTCTTCCCCGGTCTCTCCCTCCCCTTCCCCCGGGGCCTGCCCTTACCTGCGTTCCCTGCGTTGAGGGGCGGCAGCGCCCCGCTCCTCACTCCTCCGAGTTCCCTCCGACGGAGGCTCCCCTGCAGAATCTTCACATGGACGTGTGGGGCCCAGCCCGCGTCAGTGGACAGGGTCACGAGCGCTACTTTCTGTTGGTCGTTGACAACTACTTGCGTTACACCACAGTCTTCCCCTTGCGCCGCAAGGGTGAGGTCCCTGAGGTGCTGATCGACTGGATCCGCGCTGCGCGTCGTTAGCTCAGCGAGAGTTTCGGCTTGGAACTTCCTGTTCTGCGTCTGCACTCCGACAGAGGTGGAGAGTTTTCCTCCGTCATTCTACGAGCCTTCTGTCGTGCGAAGGGCATCCGCCAGATGTTCACGCTTCTGGCCTCTCCACAGCGAAATGGGATTGCTGAGCGCCGCATTGGCATGGTCATGGACGTCGCTCGGACGTCCATGATCCATGCGGCTGCTCCTCATTTTCTATGGCCGTTCGCAATTCAGTACGCGGCGCATCAGATCAACCTCCAGTAGGTGCCGGAGACCACACTTACTCTGCGGTGGACGGGGAATGTTGGCGATGCGTCTGCGTTCCGTGTCTGGGGATCTCAAGCTTTCATCCGCGACTTGTCTGCGGACAAGCTGTCCTCCCGTGCTGTTCCCTGCGTCTTCCTTGGCTTCCTCCCTGGCGCTCTTGGTTGGCTTCCTCCCTGGCGCTCTTGGTTGGCAGTTTTACCACCCCACCTCGCGCCGTGTTCTGTCCTCTCAGGACGTCACGTTTGACGAGTCGGTTCCTTACTACCATCTCTTCCGCTACCGCACTGCCCCCCTCCCCCCCCTGCCGCTCTTCCTCGAGCCAGGTCCTCCCCAAGTAGAACCCCTCCATCCTCAGGTTCTTGCTCCCTCAGGTGTGTCCCAGGTAGACGTCGTCGAGCCTGTCGAGGTAGCTGTTGATTCTGGTGGTACTAGGGGTGCTGAGCCTGCGGGTGCCGGGTCTAGGGGTGCTGAGCCAGGGGATGCAGAGCCCGGGGGTGCTGAGTTTGGGGGTGCTGAGCCTGGGGTTGCTGTGCCTGGGGTTGCTGAGTCTGGGGGTGCGGAGTCTAAGGGTGCTGAGCCTGCGCGTATGGAGTCTGGAGGTGCTGAGCCTAGAGGTCCTTCGGGTGCTTCGTCCCGGCGGGAGCCCCTCTCTCCCCAGCAACTGCGTGAGTGGTTTGCTCGGCGCTGGAGCCGTGCTGCTGGAGCTGGTGGTGCTACGGGCGCTGGAGGTCCTGTTGCTGCTGGAGCTGCTGGGGAATCTGGAGCCACTGGTCCCGGAGGTGCTCGTACTGGAGGTACTGGAGCTGCTGGGCCTGGTGGTGCCACTCGAGCTGGAGCTCTTGGAGGTGCTGGCTCTGGCTGTGCTGCTGGAGCAGGTGCTGCTGGAGGTGATGGGGCTGGCGCTGATGGAGCTGCTGGAGGTGCTGGTGGCCCTGGTGGTGCTGCTGGAGCTGCAGGTGGTGCTGCTGGAGCTGGTGGTGGTGCTGGAGCTGCTGGAGGTGCTGCTGGAGCTGGTGGTGGTGTTGCTGGAGTTCGAGCTGGCGCTGGGGGTGCTGGTGCTGTCCCTGCTGGTTCAGGGGGTGTTGAGCGGCCGCGGCCGTACTTCGTTCCGCTCCTTGAGCAGGTTCTTGGTCTCCCGCCTTCTGCTGGTCCTGCCCCTGACCTGTCGCTGTCACAGCTACAGCCCACTTCCCCGTTGCCTGCTCCTTCTCCTTAAACTGGTCCGACTGGGGGTCTTGCTGAGCGTCGTGAGCCTGCGCCTCGTCCTGCGTCGCCTCTTTGTGCTACTCGCACTAGTCCTCGTGGTTCGCATCAACGTCCTCCTCCTTTCCCTGGCACGCACCAAATGGCTCTGCGTCCTTCCACTGCTCCGCAGCGTGTCCCTCTGCCGTCTCCTCCTGAGTCCTCTCTTCCTGCCCTTGCTGACTCGGAGTCTGACTCCCTTCGTGTTGCTAGTCCTACTGTCATGCGTCTCCTTGCCACTGTTGTCACTGACCCTTCCTTAGAGTCTACTGCTGCGTCTGCTCTTGTTGCTGAGCTTGTCGGCTTTGCTGCTCGCTGTCGTCTAGACTACGCTGCTAGTCTTGTTGCTGAGTCTGAGTCTGTCTGTCCTCCGTCCGTCGAGGATGAGTGTACCCTTGGCACGGACGTCCTTGAGGACAGGCAGGAGGAGTTCCAGTGTTTTGCTGTTGCTTCACCTCAACTCGTGTCCATGCTGCTTGCCCCTGAGGGAGACCCGGATGCACTAGACATCCCGACTCCGCGCTCTTACGCAGAGGCTGTTGAGGGTCCCTACTCTTCTCAGTGGCAGGCAGCCATGGACACAGAGATGGCTTCCTGGAAGTCCATAGGCACCTACGTCGACGAGGTTCCCCCACTTGGGTCGAACATTGTTGATGGCATGTGGATTTTCAGGGTGAAGCGGCCGCTGGGTTCTCCGCCTGTCTTCAAGGCGCGTTACGTGGCTCGAGGCTTCAGTCAGCGGCAAGGAGTTGACTACTTTCAGACCTTCTCACCCACCCCGAAGATGACCACTCTTTGGGTACTATTGCACATCCCTGCTCAGCATGACTACGAGCTTCACTCTCTTGACTTCAGCACTGCTTTCTTGCAGGGCAGCCTGCACGAGGAGATATGGCTGCGCCGCCCACCTGGCTTCACTGTGTCGTTTCCTCCTGGTACCCAGTGGAGCCTCCGACGGCCAGTCTACGGTCTCCGCCAGGCACCTCGTGAGTGGCATGACACACTGAGGACTACACTGGCGGCTCTTGGGTTTGCTCCTTCTACTGCTGACCCGTCGCTGTTTCTTCGCACCGACACTTCGCTGCCACCGTTCTATATCTTCGTGTACGTCGACGACTTGGTTTTTGCCACTGCTGACATTGAGGCACTGACTCTAGTGAAGTTGGAGCTGCAGAAGAGACACACGTGCACAGACCTGGGTGAGCTGCGCAACTATCTTGGCTTGCAGATCACTTGGGACAGAGCAGGCCGCACCGTCACCCTGAGTCAGTCACGCATGGTGCAGCAGGTTCTTCAGCGCTTCGACTTCTGCGCTTCGACTTCCAGTACTCCTCGCCACAGTCCACTCCTTTGCCTACCGGTAACTCGCTCTCAGCTCTGCCTTCGGATGAATCCGCAGAGCCGAGTGGCCCGTATCCAGAGCTTGTGGGCTGCCTCATGTACCTGATGACCTGCACTCGTCCTGACCTTGCTTACCCTCTTAGCATCCTGGCACGCTACGTTGCGCCCGGGAGACACCGACAAGAGCACTGGAAGGTAGCTAAGAGGGTGATGCGCTACTTGTGCAGTACATTGGGCATTGGGCTCGTGCTTGGGGGACGGGGTCCAGATGTTCTCACCGGTCACGCAAATGCTTCTTGGGTTGACGACTTGGCTGCGCAGCGGTCGTCACAGGGTTACACCTTCAACCTTGGCTCCGGTTCTGTCTCGTGGCGGTCTACCTGCTCGTCTTCTGTTCTCAACTCCAGCTGTGAGGCTGAGATCTACGCAAGGGCCATGGCTGCACAGGAGCTACGCTGGCTCACCTACCTGCTGACCGACCTGGGCGAGGCGCCTCGTTCTCCTCAAGTTCTGTACGTCGACAACAAGGCAATGCTTGTCTATGGGGGTGTGTCAAACTTATATGCTATAGTCTTTGTAGGCTGTAGTGGGGTAGATAATATAGGGCTCAACACTTTTAGGGTTTCCTACTTGTACCCACCTGTTTCCTAGTACATTCATTCCTCGTACTTTTTTCACAGGCCTGCGGGCCTAACACTTGGTATCAGAGCCCTCACGGGGAGCGACTTCCAATGAGCGACCGTTGACGACGAGACTACGACGTCATCGTCCCGCGGTGCCGACTTGCAGACTTGGAGTCATCGAGCCAACATGGACGAGACCATGAACGCTCTCCCCAACGACATGGGCAACACGCTTGCTCAACTCATGCGCCAACTCGAATAGTTGACGTTGGAAAATCGTCAGGTACGGGCTGAAATGCAACAGCTTCGTGAATTCGCGTCAATTTCTCATGGTCACGCCGCACCATCTCCTGCAACCAACACGTCGACTGGCGCGGAAGCGCTGCCGGAACGTCAAAGCGCACTCAAGCTGCAGAAGCCCGAGCCGTTCGACCCAAGCCAACGCGACGCGAACGTGCGGACGTGGATCTTCATGCTCAACAACTACTTCGCCGCGAGCGGGGTGCAAGAGGCGGATGCGCAACAGCGGATCGAGTACTCCGTTACGCTGCTGAGGGGTTCGGCCTTGGAGTGGTGGCGCCAACTAACGCAAACTGCTGTAAGAAGGGCTCACACCGACGGGCATCAACAGGGCGTGGGGCATGCAGCTGCAACTTTGAGCTTAGGGAGTTTAGCTTTAGGTGTTACCACGGTTCCGACCACATGGAAAGGGTTTGAAGCGGCACTGAAAAGTAGATTCTTTTTGGTGAACGCCTCCGAAGCTGCTAGGAAGCGTCTGCGTCATTTCCGACCGATAGGAAACGTTCAGGAGTACACACGACGGTTCTTGAGCATCTGCAACGAAATAGACGATATCACGGAAGCAGAGATGCGCGACATCACGTCTTCCCCGACAAGTTGCCCCCAAGGTTACCTCCCAGCCGAGCAGTAGACCATCGCATAGAGTTAGAGCTGGGAAGCAGGCCAGTAGCGAAGCCGCAGTGGAGGTTGAGTCCAGCCGAGACAAAGGAGATGACGCAGCAGGTTAGGCACTTTCTCGCGCAGGGGTTCATACAGCCATCTAGATCACCTTGGGCAGCACCGATCATTTTCGCGCCAAAGAAAGACGGAGAGTTACGGATGTGCATAGAGTACCGCGCACTGAACACCGCCACCGTCAAGAATAGATTCCCGGTGCCGAGAGTAGAGGATCTTCTCGATGCAGTGCAGGGCGCTAGAGTCTTATAAAAAATCGACCTTCGTTCGGGTTACCACCAGATTTGAGTAGTTCCAGAGGACCACCATAAGACGGCGTTTCGTACGAAGCAGGGGTTGTACGGGTTTAGGGTTCTACCGTTCGGTTTGACCAACGACCAAGCGGCGTTTTAGACGCTCATGAGCACCATCCTCTCCGAGTTCCTAGGTTCGTTCGTTGTAGTTTACCTAGACGGCATTCTCATATTCTCCAATACGAAAGAGGAGCACGTGCAGAACTTGCAAAAGGTCTTCGAGGTCTTACGGAGGGAGCACTTGTACACGAAGCAGTCGAAGTGCGAGTCCTTCCTTCCAGAGGTCGAGTTTCTAGGCCATGTCGTATCCGCTAGTGGCATCAGGACCGACTCGAAGAAGATCGCAGCAGTACAGGATTGGGTAGCACCGACCTCAGTCAAGGAGTTGCAGAGCTTCTTCGGATTCGCTAATTACTACCGTCGTTTCGTTCAGGATTACGCTTCCATCGCTAGTCCACTCACCGACCTACTTCGAAAGGGCGTAGAGTACGTCTGGGGTCCAGCGCAGAAGCTGGCGTTCGAGAAGATGAAGAAGTCGCTCACGTTTTCACCGACACTGTCGTACCCTGATCCCACTTGCCCATACGTTGTAGTGACCGACGCTTCAGATCAGGCCATTGGAGCAGTGCTTCTTCAGGACCAGGGATGCGGGTTGCAGCCGATCGCGTACGAGTCGCGTAAGCTGAGGGGAGCAGAGTTGAACTACCCGATTCACGACAAGTAGGCGCTCGCGATCATCCATGCGTATAAAGTGTGGAGGTGCTACCTAGAGGGGGCAGATAGTGTTATACGCACGGACCACTGTTCGCTTCGTTTCCTCAAGTTGCAGCCGCAGCTGAGTCGTCGCCAGGCTAGATGGATGGAGTTCATGGAGGGGAGTTTCCACTACAGGATAGAGTATAAGCCAGGCGTGCGCAACCCAGCAGATCCGCTCACTCGCCCTAGTTGCCAGCTCGCTAGTCTCACAGTCACTGCTGGCCATCCACTTCTCACAACACTTTTTGAGCACGGTTACACAGTAGATCCCGACTTCACACCGCAGCCGCCCGCAGGAGCAGAGGTGCAGGGTAGCGTCTACATAAGGAAGGGTACCACACGGATTTGGGTTCCCGCCTACCGTCCTCTTCGACAACTTGTTCTTTTCGACGTAGTTAGTGCAGGTCACTTTGGAGCAGATAAGACGGCTAAAACACTTAGTCGCACGTACTACTGGCCAGGGCTTGCAGCAGACGTAGAGGATTACATTCGGTCGTGTGACACGTGTCAGCGTACAAAGTCCTCTCGCCAGCGCAAAGCAGGACTCTTGCAGCCGATTCCACCGCCCGGCCGCCCTTGGCAGGTAGTCACCGTGGACTTCATCATGTCTTTACCGCGCATAGTTAGGGGTCACGATTGTCACGATTCTAAACTGTGCGTAGAGCAGTAGATATATCATCGTGACTAATAGGAAATGGAGAACAGTACAGTAGGGAGGATGACTAGCAAAGCGGGGTGGTTGAAGCGACACAACCGAAACATTAGGGAGTTGGCGGGTGAGAAGGGATCCGTTAGCACAACGGTAACCTAACGAAGATACTTAGGAAATAGGCAGACAGTGGAAAGGTTGCTTGCGTGATTGTTTTCATACTCATGCTTACTATTCCGTCTACCATCAACAAACCAAGCACGTGAAACCAAAGCCGCAAGCCATACAGACCCCAGCCTTCTGTTTTCCAGTCAGCCAAGATAGGGCTTTTACGGTTAGATACAGGCTGTGTTAAAGGACTTTTTAACAATCACGCAAGAATCTCGATGCATCGTCGAGAGTTCTTAAGAACGAGACTGTGGAACGATACTGAGGAGTTGAAGCCTACGGAGGGAAGGCGTGCAAAAGAGATATCCGCGCGGGGAGACGTGAGAGCGTCACGTGGCGAAACGGATTCACGTA